TTATTTTCTTTGCCTTAACAGATGTATTAGCAAAAATATTGCTGCAAAGGATATCTGAAATTTTACTGCCTATGTTTTTCTCTAGGACTTTTATGGTGTTATGGCTTATGTTTAAGTCTTTTATCCATTTTAAGTTTATTCTGGTATATGGTATAAGTTGGTAGTCTAGTTTCATTTTCTTCCCTGTATTATTCCAGTTCTGCCAGCACCATGTGTTGAAGAGGTTATTTTTACACCATTTTATGCTACTGCTCCGTTTGTCATATGTTAATTGACCATAGAGACATGGGTTTATTTCTGGGCTCTCTATTCTGTTCCATTGATCTATGTGTGTGTTCTTATGCCAGTACCAGACTGTTTTGATTACAGTGGCCTTGAAGTATAGTCTGACATCAGGTACTGTGATCCCTCCTACTTTGTTCTCCCTCAAGATTGCTATGGCTGTTCAGGGTCATTTTTGGTTCCATATAAATTTTTGAAATATTTGTTCTAAATCTGTGAAATATGTCATTGGTATTTTAATAGGGATTGTGTTGAACCTACAGATTGCTTTGGGTAGTATGGACATTTTAATGATGTTGTTTCTTCCAGTCCATGAACATGGTATATGCTTCTATTTGTTTGTACCTTCCTTAATTTCTTTTTTCAGTGTTGTATAGTTTTCTGCATACAGGTTTCTTACCTCCTTGGTTAAATTTATTCCTCAGTAATTTATTTTTCTTCTTGCTGTAGTAAATGGGATTTTTTCCCATTTTGATGATGATAATTCTTCCAATCCATGAACACGGTATATGCTTTCATTTATTTCTGTCTTCCTTAATTTCTTTCTTCAGTGTTGTGTAGCTTTCTGAGTATAGATCTTTTACCTCCTTGGTTAGGTTTATTCCTATGACCTTTATTTTTCTTGTTGCTATAGCAAATGGGATTTTTATTCTGATATTTCATTGTTGGTATACAAAAATGCCTTCGATTTCTGAATATTGACTTTGTTTCCACCTATTTTGGCAAATTCACTTATTAGGTGGAGCAGTTTTTTGGTGGAATCTATAGAGTTTTCTATGTACAGTGTCATGTCATCTGCAAATAGTGACAGTTGTACTTACTCCTTTCTGATCTGGATGCCTTTTATTTCTGTGTCTTGTCTGATCATTGTGGCTAGAACATCCAATACTATGTTGAATAAAAGTGGTGAAAGTGGACATCCTTGTCTTGTTCCTGATGTTAGGGGGTAAGGTTTTAGTTTTTGCCCAGTGAGTATGATGTTGGCTGTAGGTTTCTCATTGACAGTTTTTATTATGTTGAGGTATGCTCCCTCTGTTCCCATTTTGCTGAGTGTTCTTATCATAAATGAGTGCTGTGCCTTAAAAAGTGCTTTTTCTGCATCTATTGATATGATCATGTGGTTTTTGTCTTTATTTTGTTTATGTGATGTATTATGTTTATTGATTTGCATATCCCACTTAACCTCAGTGTACGATCTTTTTGATGTATGCTGGATCTGGTTTGCCAATATTTTGTTGGGGATTTTAACATTTATGTTCATCAGTGATATTGGCCTGTAGTTTTCTCTCTTTGTTGTGTTTATCTGGTTTTGGAATTAGGATAATACTGGCCTCATAAAAAAAAGTTTAGGAGTCATCCCTCTTCTTCAACTTTTTGGAATAGTTTGAGAAGGATAGGAGTTAGCTCTTCCCTAAAAGTTTGGTAAAATTCGCCTCTGAAGCCATCCAGTCGAGGGCTTTTGTGTGCCAGGATTTTTTTTTATTACTGCTTCAATTCCACTAATTACTATTGGTCTATTCAGGCTATCTGTTTCTTATTGATTCAGATTTGGAATATTATATATTTCTAGAAATTTGTCCATTTCGCCCATGTTGTCAAATTTCTTGGCATATAGTTTTTCTTAATAATTTCTTACATTCCTCTGTATTTCTGTGATATTGGTTGTAATTTCTCCTCTTTCGTTTCTGATTTTATTTATTTGGGTCTTCTCTCTTTTTTTCTTGATTCATCTGGTTAAAGGCTTGTCAGTTTTTCTTACATTTGAAAGAACCAGCTCCTGAATTTATTGATCCTTTGAATTGTTCTTTTAGTCTCTATGTCATATTTAATTCTGCTCTGATCTTGATTATTTCTGTCCTTCTACTTGTTCTGGGCTTTGTTTGTTGTTTTTCCTCTAGTTTTTGTAGATGTAGGTTTAGGTCATTTATTTGAAATTTTTCTCTATTTTTTAAGTAGGACTGTATTGCTATGAACTTCCCTCTCAGGACTGCCTTTGCTGTGTTCCATAGGTTTTAGGCTTTTGTGTGTTCATTTTCATTTGTTTCCAGAAACTTTCTGATTTCTTCCTTATCTCATTGTTAACCCATTCATTATTTAGTAGCATATTACTGAGCTCCATGAATTTGAATGTTTTTGAGTTTTTTCCTTTAGGTTGGTTTCTGGTTTCAAGCCATTGTGATCCTGGACAATGATTCATATGATTTCAGTTTTCTTGACTTTGTTGAGGTTTGTTTTGTGACCTACCATCTGGTCTATCTTTGAAAATGTTCCATGTGCATTTGAAAAGAATGTATATTTTGCTTCTTTGGGGTGAAAGGTTCTGTTTATATCAATTAAATCCACTTGATTTAGAGTGTTATTCAATATCTTTGTTGATTCTTTGCTTGGAAGATCTATGTATTATTGACAATAGGGTGTTGAAAATCCCCTACTATGAGTATGTTGCTGTCAATATCTTTCTTGAAGTCCTCCAAGTTTTCCTTATATATTTTGGTGCTCCTACGTTGGGTACATATATGTATACAAGGGTTATATCTCCTTGATGGATTATTCCCTTAAGTATTATATAGTGTCCTCTTTTGTCTCTTTTTATGGCCTTTTTTCCTGAAATTCATATTGTCTAATATAAGTATTGCTACCCCTGCTTTTTTTCCCAGGTCCGTTTGCTTGGAATATTTTTTTCTATCCCTTCACTGTCAGTCTGTGTAGGTCCTTTGTTCTGAGGTGGGTCTCTTGTAGACAGCAATATATGCAGGTCATGTTTTCTTGTTCATTTCCTACCTTATGTCTTTTGATTGGAGCATTTAATCCATTTACATTTAAAGTTATCATTGATAAGGTACTTAATTCATTGCCGTTTTCCCTTTGTTCTTGTGTCCCTCTCTTTCTCTCTCTTTTTCTTCATCTTTTTAAAGCAGTCCCTTTAACATCTCTTGCAATGCTGGTTTGGTGGCAATGTGTTCTTTTAGCCTTTTTTTTTTTTTGTATGGGAAGCTCCTTTTTATGCCTTCCATTTTAAATGAGAGTCTTGCTGTGTAGAGTAGTCTTGGTTGCAGGCCTTTGCTTGTCATTAGTTGGAATATTTCTTGTCATTCCCTTCTGGCTTATAGTGTTTCTGCTGAGTAATCAGCTGCTAGCTTTATTGGGGCTCCCTTATATGTTACTAGCTGTTTCTCCCTTGCTGACTTTAATATTCTCTCTTTGTCTTTAAATTTTGCCATTTTTATTATGATGTGTCTTGTAGTGGGCCTCTTTGGATTCATCATGATTGGGACCCTCTGTGCTCCCTGGGCTTGCATGACTTTTTCTCTCTTCAAGTTAAGTAAGTTTTCTGTTACTACTTTTCAAGCAGGTTTTCTATCCCTTGCTCCTCTTCTTCACCTTTTGGTATTCCTATGATATAGATATTATTATGTTTCATATTGTCCTGTAGCTCCCTTAAGCCCTCTTCATTCTTTTTGAGTCTTTTTTCATTTTGTCCTCTGGGAATTTTTTTTCTACTTCGTCTTCCAGCTCACTGATTTGATCTTCTGCTTCATCTAGTCTGCTTTTGATTTTTTTCCTACTGTGTTCTCCATTTCAGAAATTGTATTTTTCATTTCTTATGTCTCTTATTGATAGTTTCTATGTCTTTTTTTATGCTAGTGTAGCTTGCAGCAAGTTCCTTGTGGTTTCCCTGGAGTTCTTTGTAGTTCTCACTGAGCTTTGTTTTGAACTGAATATCTGATAGTTTCCTTAACTAACTGATATCTGAGCTTCCTTAAACAATTGTTTTGAACTGAATATCTTATAGTTTACTTGTCTCTATTTCATTTAGCACTTCTTCTGGGTATTCTTCCTTTCCTTTTAATTGGGAGTTGTTTCTTTTTCTCCCCATTTTAGGGGAGACTGCTTCTTAAATTGATCTATTTTGATTCCTTGACTTTGTGATGTGAAGTTCTATGGTGGGAGACCTGTGGGATTTAGTGGTGCAGTCCCCTTGATCTCCTGAACTTGATGCTCTTGGGATGTCCTTTATGCCATTTATGTTGGGTCTCTGGTTGTAATTGGGTTTTGATTGTTGTTGGGTCATTTTTTGGTCGGTCCTTTGCTATGGCTGGCTGACTGAGAATCACTCAGCCCACCATGTCTTAAGACCAGTCCTTGAATGTAATTCCTCAGAGGCTGTATTAGTGTAGCTTTTACCTACAAACAATGGAAACAATGGAAAGTGTTAAAGTTATGTTGCAAATTTGCCAGGGAGAAAAGGTTTGAGCATTGTCTTTTTAAAAGTTATCCAGGAATATTGCTAAAGTTTAGTTTTAATTCCATTTCCTCTGGTAGTATATAGGTTCTAATTTTACTAAACTGCTAGTCAGATTGACTGGAAATGATAAATAATATTGCCTTAATATTGAGAATATTTGGTAATAAAATTGATGGGTATCTTTTACCATCAATTTTATTGTTGTCATTTTATTGTTGGTAATTTCAGAAGATTCTTTTTGAACATCAGGATAAATTCTGTAAACATGAAATTATATTGTTTTGCTTTCTAATGTCATTCTGTATTACATACAGGAGTATGTAATACATATTTATTGGGGAAGGTAGAGAGGAAATATATTTAAACATGTAATTCCTTAAAGTATTTGTAGTAAGACAAACATTTTCTTTAGGTTTAGAGATAAATAGTGGAAAGTTGCCCACAAACTTTTAAGATTGTACCCTTGTTGTAGGTGGCCCCGGAGGAGTTTAAGACCAGCATTGGCCGTGTGAATGCATGTTTGAAAAAGGCTCTCCCAGTCAATGTGAAATGGCTGCTGTGTGGTTGTCTCTGCTGTTGTTGCACGCTGGGTTGCAGCCTGTGGCCTGTTATTTGTCTCAACAAAAGAGTGAGTAACCCTTTTATTATATAGTAATGATAAAACTAATCTTTGTTAAACACTTGCTATGTGCCAAGTATGTTGTATGATTTATTTAATTCTCACAGCAATGCTATCCTTATTTAAGAGATAAACTCTGGGACAGAGGGATTCAGAATTTTGTCCAGCCTTTATCGACACTTTATCAATTCATATGAGTTCCCATCATTTTAAATAAGAGCAATGTTAGTGGAGTACTTAAATAAATATAAATGTAATTAGGTTACTTACTCTTTTTACAAAACCCAAAGCTGTGATTTAAAGCATTTCCAAGCTACATGTAAATGGGAGAGAGTCTTCTGATCTGAAGAAAGGCAGAAGTGAGAGCAAAATAAAAAGTTTGTGGAAGGCGAGAATCCTGCTTAGTTTTGAATATGTTGAAACAACATTCTAATATGACATTACTAGTTTTGTCATGAATTTAAGGCTACTATCTTAATCCCATCTTCTTAACATTTTATTATAGTCTTTGAATGTTTTTTCCCCTGTGGGAAGATAACGTTAAGCTTTTTAATTGACTCCAATGAGGAAAATTAATTCATTTTACCTAAATTTCTTTTTCCTGTACCACATTGATGATTTTATTTAAACTTTTAAATAATAATTAACCTACTGAACTATATTCAAAATCACAGCACCTTGTGGGAGTATGATTAGTGGTGCAGTTATTTCTTAAAGGCCAAAAAATCCCAAAGACATACTCATTTCTTCCTTTCCATCTTTCTCCTGCTCTCCTTAATGACTACTTAAAAAAATAATAAAATACTGTCACACCTATGGTTTTTTGACTGGAAAAGTTAAACATTTTATTGATTCCCTTGGTAACTATCAGTAGGTCAGAGCTTTAGTCTAAATGTAGCTTAGTTTATTTGCCAAAGCATGTATAATATTCTCAAATGGCTTTATATACATTAAAATAAAATGATAACATAAATTTATTTCCCAAATTGTCATGTCTTTTAAAAGTTACAAATCAATAACTCCTACCATCCCCATTATTTTTAAAGCTTCAATATATATTAATTATATTAAAAATAGATTTTTTTCATTTTAATATTATCCAGGATCTATATTTTTTTTCTGGTGAACTGGTTTCTCTTTGTGTGTTTATTAACACTTTCATCACAAGGCCTGAAATAAAGAGAAGCAATTTTTTTAATCACGTGATTTTATCATAAGTACTTCTGATAGAATATTCAATGGAAAATGAAATTGATGCTGATGCTGTGATTTCTCCCTATTCCCCATTACTTCGGTTAATGAAGAATTCACACTGAAGTTGAGGTATCAGTATGTTCTTACATCACTAATCTTTTAGTTAAAAAAAAGTCTATACCCTTTTTCATGGAGGCTTGGAGGTCATTGTCTGCTTCAGGGTAAAGCTGAACATCCTTTTCCAGCCAATGGCTGCAAGAAACTTACTGAAGTGGACTATGAATGCAAACTTTATACCTTTTATGAGAAGTGTATGGCCACAGAAGTTACTGCTGATGCTCTGGGTGAAGATGGAAGGGTTATATTGTTAAAATCAGTTGTGAGGACAACAAACAATTTTTCCCTATGAAGCAGGGTGTCTTAACCCATGGTCACATCAGCCTGCTGCTGAGAAAAGGGCATTCCTGTTGTAGACCAAGGAGGACTAGAGAGAGAAAGCTCAAATCTGTTCAGGGTTGCAGTGTGAATGCCAGTCTCAGTGTTCTCAACTTGGCCGTTGTAAAAAAGGGAGAAAAAGATATTTCTAGTATCACAGATACTACTGTGCCTCATCGCCTGGGGTTCAAAAGAGGTAGCAGAACCCATAAACTTTTCAATCTCTCTAAAGATGATGTTCACCAATATATTGTGAGAAAACTCCTAAACAAAGATGGTAAGAATCCTAGGACTGCCCTGGCTGGTGTGGTTCAGTGTATTGGGTGCTGACCTATGAACCTAAAGGTTGCTGGTTCGATTTCCAATTAGGACACATGCCTTGGTTGTGGGCCAGGTCCGCAGCTGAGAGCATGCTAAAGGCAACCAATCGATGTTTCTCTCCCTCTCTTTCTCTCTCCCTTTACCTCTCTCTAAAAATAAATAAATAAAATTGTTTTTTGAAAAGAAATGTAGGACCAATGCACCCAAGATTCAGCATCTTGTTACTCCACACATCCTACAAGACAAACATTGACATGTTGCTCTGAAGAAACAACGTATTAAGAAAAATTAGGAAGAGACCACAGAATACACTAAACTTTTGGCTAAGAGCATGAAGGAAGCCAAAGCAAAATGCCAAGAACAGATTGCCAAGAGCTGCAGGCTGTCCTCTTTGAGAACTTCTACCTCTAAGTCTGAGTCCACTCAAAAATGAGATTTTCTAAGCAACAAATAAGATCAGATATGGAAAAAAGTTTATATTTAAAAACTATCATTGTGCAGACCAAATCCAGCCATTTTTGTTTTTTAAACATTTAAATCAATTGCCAGCACTTAAAATTGGAGTATTTAAAATAAAAATTGAGACATCTAGCTTCTCTTGTAAAATTTAAATATCTGGCAATATTGGACCCACATGACAATATTTCAGCAATTAGTTGAATGAGTGGCAGTTGCTCCCTTTAAACAGGACATGTGGTCTCTGGTTCCCCACAGAACCAATCAGAATTTATATTAACTGCCTTACTCTGTACATTTTCTGGTTATGGCCCTTGATTTTGTATACGCTATGTTGTTTACACACTAGACAATGAAACAATAACCATGTGCTGGTAACCTTTTGCAAGACACTGTCCTTTCTAGAGCCTTAGTTTCTTCACCTATAAAATCAAGATAATATTACTTACTTTTATGATTGTTGCAATGATGAAGAGAATTAAGGTGCTTCGCTGCTTTTTCATCCACATGGAGCAATAAAAAATAAAATACAACAATTTAAGAATCTTTATGTCTTCACTATTGCTTCCTAATCTATAAACTAACTTGTGTAGATCAGCAATTTTCAACCAGTGTGTCATAAGAATTTTAAAACACACAATACCTAACTATTCAGTCAGAGGCACTGACCTCTTTTCCCTTAGGTTCTCAAATTAAAAATGACAACAGCCAACACAATAGCCATCTGGTGTGAATGAATCAAAATTACACCTATTTTTATCAGATTGGCAAGAAATATACTTTTTGGTGTTCCACAAAATTTTAGTAATTAGTTTGTGTGCCATGAAGTGAAAAAGGTTGAAAATTGCTGGTATAGACTATAATTGTTTAATTGGAAAAATGATTAGCATTCATATAGTCCAAATTCCTTAATTTTTCAGGTGTGGAAACTGAGATCCAGAGTGGTGAAGTGACTTTCTAAGTGTCACACAGTAAATGGCACAACCTGGAAAATAATCCTTTTTTTTTCTTTTTTTTTTTTTTGCTTCGATTTGTTTTTGTCTCTTGTAATTCTGTATTCTGTTCACAACACCATGTTTCTTAGGTCAAATTTCCTATTCCTAAAAAAAATTTCCTATTCTTAAGACAAACTCTACGATAAATGCTATGGTAAACAGTCAACCCACTGAGTTTTAATTTTGTAGTGGGGGTTGGAAAAGATTTTCTTAACAGACCAAACAGTAAATACCTCTAGGCTTTGTGGGTCAGAGGTCTCTGTTGCAGTTAGTCAACAATGCTATTTTAATGTGAAAGCAGCACTAAGCAATATGTAAATACGTGAGCATTGGTCTGTTCCAGTAAAACTTTAGTTCCAAAAACAGGCAGCAAGTCAGATAGTGAGCTATAGTTTGTCATCCTGCTCTAGCTATTCCTAATGAGGTATCTAGCTTTGTGGAAGTCATGTTTCTTCACAAGATAAAATGGAAATAATATGATTATTCTGCCATATTTCACAAGGTTGCCATTTGAACTAATGATTGTAAAATGTTTTCAAGGGAAGAACTTCTGTGTAAACACTCTGCCTTATGAACTGTTTTTGTTCTTGCTGTTTATTTGTGTATTTTTTTACCTAATATACTTCTGCTCTTTCTTGCTACCAAATGAGGTGGAAGAAAATAAATAGAGATAAGGGTGCTCTTTCTCCCTTGCTGCTTTTAGGATTCTCTGTTTGTCTTTGCTATTTGCCATTTTAATGATGATGCGTCTTGGAGTGGGCCTCATAGGGTTCCTCTTGAACGGGACCCTCTGTGCTTCCTGGACTTGTGTGACTTTTCCTCTCCTCCAGTTAGGGAAGTTTTCCATCATTACTTTTTCCAACAGGTTCTCTCTCCCTTCCTCATCCTCTTCCTCTTCTGGTATCCCTATTAGGTGGATATTATTACGTTTCAGGTTGTCCTGCATTTCCCTCAATGCCTCTTCATGCTTTTTGAGTCTTTTTTCATTTTCTTGCTCTTTCTGGGAGCTTTTTCTACCTTATCCTCCAGCTCGCTGATTCGGTCCCTCAGCTTCATCTAGCCTGCTTTTGATTCCTTCTACTGTGTTCTTCAATTCAGAAATTGTATTCTTCATTTCCTCTTGTCTCGTACTGATAGTTTCTATGTCCTTTTTCATGTTGATATAGTTTGCAGTAAGTTGCTCGTAGTTTCCCTGTAGTTTTTGGTAATTCTCTTTGACCTCACTGAGCTCATTGAGCTTCCTTAGAACCATTGTTTGGAACTCAATATCTGATAATTTACTTGCCTCTATTTCATTTAGTTCTCTTTCTGGGGATTGCTCCTTTCCCTTCGAGTGGGGCCTATTTCGTTTTCTTCCCATTATTTGTGACTCTTCTTTTTTGCTTCTGATTCTTCAATTAATCTGTCTTGATCTCCTTACTTTGTGGTGTGAACTTCTATGGTTGGAGACCGCTGTTTTTACTTTCTGGATGTGCCTCTGATGATGTCAGATGTTGACCCCGTCTGACCTTAGACAGTCTGTTGGAGACTTCCAGTAATCTACTGTTTGTGGCTTTCTCCTTCAGCTGTTCATCTATTCATTCTGCACTCAGCAGGCCGCCTTAGACA